TTTCATAAAATATAATAACTTGCCATTTCGGTTTGTTTCTCACCAAACCCACAGTATAACGTTTGGAATATACGCCACGAGATGCATAGGATTATTTTACGACAGATATGCATCCGCTTAAAAAAAACAAAACGAACAAAACCTAAAGTCACCATTCTCTGGCATTAAATTGGCAAATGCGAGCAGGACATTGTGTTATTAAGTAATAAGCCTTTAGAACAACATTAAGGTGAGTAGTCACTCTAGTTCACACAGTTCCAATAAATTGCGATGGGTTAAATAAACTCAATAAGCAGACAGACGCGACTACAGTCAAGCGCAGACCAGTATTGAAGTGCACAGGAAATGAGCAGCAGTCATATTTAAAACATATATTAATGTTTAAATTAATATTGAGTACTGATTGATGGTCACTTGGATTTTTTCCCCATCGAGGGGAAATAACTTTATACTCTGTCATTTATAGTCATATGGTAAAATGTATATTTTTATTTGTGTAACGTTACGTTCAAAATAACTACAAAATGCCTTTGAAAAATAAAGAGAACAACAGAATGCGCTGCTTTAGCGCGTCTCGGTCTCCTTGAGCATCTTTCCGGCGCATGCCACAAACATGAACCACAGGGAATACTTGTCTTTTAAAAGGCTTCATTTAGATTATTTGACGTTAAATGCATCATATAAGTCACTTTGGAATAAATCACAGTAGGCCTATGTATCATGATAAAAAAAAAGAACTTTACAGTCTGGAAATACTTTAGGCTATAGCAAATTATTTCTCGGACCCCCTATCACTTTAAGAACCGCTGGTCTACACAGAAGAAAGACCTGTCTAGTCTCTGCCCCGGTACGAGTTGTGTCGAGCTATTCATTAGTCTGTTTGATGAGAAAAATATGAAATGTAGTTGCAATAAAATGGGTAATTAATCCATACAACTGCAGCAGTGGAGGACTATTATTCTGCTGCATGATACTGCAGAAGAACTGATGACGGCACGGTTTGATCTTCGGCTGACCAATCAGCAGAAAGGGGCGTTTAATTCCCGCCCACGTGTAGAAATCAAATATTCAAGCTGTTAATTCATTTTTCTACCCCTGAGCAAAAAATTAAAATTTAAGATGAATTCTCTTTTTTTCAATTTTTGGAAAAAGATACGAAAAAACTAAAAAGGAGCCGTTTTCTAATTTTTCTACTTTCAATATTAAATCAAAAACCGAATGATCGAATGATACACGGATTTTTCTGCTGTCTCGGTCTTGAGCAGGAAGGCTTCACAAAAATGAACCGAAACCCTGTGAATATTCTATTTCATCATGGTAATTACTTGCTGCCGTTTTGCGGCAAGCTCTGCGTGCGCTTTAACATGGAACTCTTCCAGCACTCGCTGCTGCTGGACACTAAACACCGTCCGAGCCGCTCTTGACAGTCGCGGTAGCACGGTCTCGTGCTGTTTCCACCAGTGCGGCAAATCTTTGTCATCACCATAATAATTGATGGATATCTAAAATATAAAAATAAGGAGGAAGCAAGCCTGATGCCTGGCCCGTGTCTGAAGCCATAAATGAGTTGGGGCTGAAATGCAGGGCTCTAAAGCGCAGCTTGTTGCATTTAAGCATCAAAAATACACACAAAATGACACCAAAATGGCCTGATGTAATATGTGAAATGTGCAGTAAGGTCTGGCGCAGTTGCAGCTTGTACTTATTACTAAAACAAGAAAGCAAACGAGTAGCATTAATAGTCATTCATTTTAGTTAACATATGCTATGATAATTTGAACAGATTTTTATTCTTATTGTAAAATAATGGAACATTTAGGTCATGAATATTTTCTCAAAAGTCATGGAAAAGTCATGGAAATATATTGGTAAAAATGTGTACGAACCCTGATTTCAGTAAGTTGTACTGGATCTTATAATATACCTTTTTATGTCCATTCATGTTTATTTCGTACTATAGTAGTAAAGGGAAAGATATGATGGGTTCACATGCCGCTTGAAATGAGACGCTAAATCGATAGCTCATGCTGCATTTATGAGCGCCAAAGTGGTATTTTTTGTTTATAATTTATGAATTTAGCAGAATTTTAAAGCTGATACTTTGTTTATTTTAAGGAAATGGAGCACAAAGCTTATTGCGATTATTGGACGGCAAGTGTACTACAAATAATATGAAGTTAACGCATTAACAGAACACAGCTTATAGACTAAAGATCTTGATAACAAGAACCCATATTAGTATTGATTCTAAATAAAATTTGTTAACAATATTGTTAATGTCCACACAGCTGACAGCTTTACCTGTTGTAGTTTGCTCAAGTTGTTTCACGGAATAGACTGCTTTTCAGCACTTTTCCCAGATAGCACACATACGTCTGCAAGGCGTCTGTTAAAGATCGCTTCATCTGGAAAGCATCTGCTGTGTACAGACATTTGATAGACATCTTTCAGACGTCAGTTTTACATACATTCTAAATCATAAACATCTTAAAGGCAAAGATGTCTATTTGACATCTAATAGAAAACGTCCTATAGACGTATTCCAGATGAGCATACACTAAAAAAATATGTCTTGCAGATGTAAATGCAGACGTCAAATAGACGTCTCCTTGATGTACGTATGCTATCAGGGTTACTTCGCATGTCTCCGTCATTTTGATCTCGCATGCTGCCACAGCTGGAGCTGCTTTTAGCAGGTGTGCTGTCAATGCTGATGTTCAGTAGAGATGAGGACCGTTTGAAAGTCTTTTTTCCACTCAAACTTTGATTCACATCATCTCAGTTTATTACATCAACATAACAAAACACGTCATCGCAAAACAAGCAGGAAAAAAGGCATTAGATGCACATTTAGATTTACATTTATATAGTCGCCAGTGGCGATCTCTGCCAAAATAGCACTCACAAATGAATATTTTTGGTTGCAAATGCGACCATTTTAAAGTCGCAGTCTGGAGCCCAGTAGCTGCTGTGATTGTTGTGGTAACACGATTTCAGCAGTCAGTAGTATACCAATGAAATGTCATTCTTGATACCAATGTCAATGCTAGAGCAAAAATACATTTTAATTTTAAAAACTTTATATAAATTTGTAGTTAAATAAAAATTATGACATGTAGTCTTCAAGCCAAAATACTTGTTTACTAGCAACAGCGCTAGAAATGTTACTGCTTGTCATTTGTCTGACTGCTCAATAGGACAACCTCTTTGGCATAAATTTATTTCCTGTGAAATACTAACGTGACAACCTCAGTGTGTCCTGTGCATATCACATGGCTTATGTTAAATATATAAAAAAAATTACAGTCATGTCATGTAGTCGTCCTTTTATTACAGAACTAGTCTAGGCTTCCATCTAAATTATTTTGTTGAGAGAGACTTTTAATGTTTTTAGGTGATGGCGAAGTGGTTGAGCAGGTGATTGGCCAGCAGACTACAGACGAATCTCAGGAAGAAAGCCCATTGGATGACCTGATTAGGGAGCTCCAGCACCAGCAAGATGAGCAGAGACTCAACTCAGGAAATCCTACAGGTGAGAACAACCCACAGTTGACCTGTCAAAATGTTTTATAGCACTTTCAATGATGCTGGATCATTATTTTCTAATGGTACAATTATTACACATTGAAGGGGGCAAAATGCGTATTGTATAATATATTGTTTCTCTTTATTATATTAAAATAATTTTGCATTTAAGACATCTGTTGGCTTAAAGGTCACTTATATAAAAGTTGACAGTTTAGAGGTTGTGACATTTAAAGCTGTTGCCCAGTAGATGCTGAGGTGGCAGTTGGTCCTCTGTCACCCCCTAACGTTGGGCTGCGACGTAGTGGACAAGTTGAGGGTGTACGGCAGATGCACAACAATGCCCCCCGCAGTCAGATCGCCACAGAGAGAGACCTGCTGGCATGGAGCCGCCGCGTGGTGGTTAATGAAGTCCAGTCTGGCATATTCAGGTACAAGTATGGCAATTGAACAGTTTGCAAATAAAAAAGAAGAAATAACTGGTTGAGCAACATTGCTACCAAAAACCAGAAATATATTGTTAAATGACAAAATAGCTCATCGTGGTCTAAAACAGTGTTTCTCAATCTTTCTGACTCTGAGGCTCCCCATTATCCTCAACAATGTTCTCCATATACAATTCTTCTCCTGTTTTTTGTGATTTACTAGAGAAATAATTTTTCCCCCCCCCATTTTCTACCCAATTTTATATATATATATATATATATATATATTTTGTAAATCTTGGCATTGCTAGAAATGTATATTCATTATCAAACTGCCCATGGAATTATAAGATTTTATTGATTAACATGACTTTTCCAAGTCTATAAATTAGACTACCGTAAGGTATCCAGGTTTTGGTTTTATCTTGTCCCTGGTTGAGAAACACTTGTCTAAAGTATTTAAGCTTGTGTAGTTTTTTAAAAATATATATGACCAATGGTGAACACAGTGGCAATGTTTTAACCTTTTGTGTACCAGCCAGATATTTAACCACCAGATATTTAAACTAGAATTCCCCTTTTAAGTGTCCATTGTTTCCTTTTAACTACACTAAACTGTCCGTGTTGATGTATTTGTGCATATTTAGAGTGATGGAGGACAGTAGGCGTGCTAAAGGAGAGGTGGAGCGGTCTTTCTACAAAATTGAAAAGAAGAAAAAATCAGCACCCACAACAGGAGTGAGGTTTTTTTTACACATGTTTGCAGACACATAAAGATGAAGTGAGAATCAGACCACGGAAAAAACTGAACCTCACTTTCTCCCTCTATCTGCAGAGTGAGCCAGTGGGTGACAGTGTTCGCATGTTACGGAGGCCTCAGCGAAAACCTCAGCAGAGGAGACACACGTATCAGACCCGCTCAACTCGAGAAAGGAGACGCAGCACAAGTGTGCTTTCGTACACTCATAACGAGGAAAGTGTGGCAGAGTCCGACAGTGAAGCAGAGGTAAGAATGCAGTGTGTGTGTGTGTTCAGCCTCAAACCCTGCACATCTCTTTCAGGCTGTAAAGTGAATTATTATTTTTAACTATATATTTGTGCTTGTTTTGAAATGCTAAATTAAATATTGAATGATGTTTCTGAATGTGTGCACCTAGCAGGAGGAGGAACAGAATGAGAACAGTGATGTGTCATCTGATGGTGAAGCTCAGTGGGAGAATGACAGTAGCTCCAGGTTCAGTCTCCAATTACAATATTTCACAACATAAAAAATATGAATAATGCATGTAAAGCGTTCTGATTTTGATCTAATACTAGCTTAAAGTTCAAATAAAGCTTTAATTGTTTTGCAACTTAAATTAAGCTGGTAGTCTTGACTCCATATGAAATTACATGGGTATAACAACAAGAATTCTATTTAGACCAATATTAGACATTAAATTATAGATATTGGGCACGCTAATAAAAAAAATAAATAATAATAATTATCTTTCAAACTTTTGTTTGGTGTCTCACTATGGGAATCGCCTCGGGTGTAACCAGTACTGGAAGCAGCAATTAAACCACATCTGTCCAGGAGTGTGCGATATGACGATTTTTGATTGTGGATGATTAAAATGTCTCTACGATCTGCTTTTGAAGAAATATCATAGTATCGTGCTACAGTGGTACATTCTATCAGTTGCAATACTGGCGCCTCCATCTCAATATCCTGTACAACGCCGCATACATTCACATCAAATGTTAACTCATTGGTAGAGTTACACTCATGGGACACTACACTTATTCACAATCACAAAAGTACATTATTTGTATGTGGTTTAAAGACTGGCTGGTTAAACATTTAATTCACGTGCTGTTCTGTCATGCACCTTTTCTGAATGCATACACTTGAAGCACGCGCACACTAAAAAGCCTGTCAAACAGCACCTGATTAATGGTCTTAGTTATCTTTTGCATCTGATTGCGCTAAGACTAAACATAACCAACTGTGTTTATATGTAAACCCTGTGTGTTTTTGACAAAGTAAAAGTAAACCGTTAAGAGAAACAGATGCACAGTAGATTAGATGATATGGTGCCACTTGTCATTAAAGGGATAGTTCATCCAAAAATTTAAATTGTCATTATTTACTCACTCTCAAGTCCCGCATCCCTCATATATATCGCTGCTAACGCTCCCTACCTCATTCTCATTCTATTTCCCGTGAAGATCCTATTTGGAAGCCATCCTTAGTAGATCCTCGTGAAGGGTGGCCACTAAACTGTTCAAGGTAAAAATGTTCCCTGTGCATCCTGCCAAGGGCAACGATGTGTGTGAAAATAAAAACAAAAATACACACCAAAACGTCCAAATCAGAGCTGCAACCCCCAGCTCCGCCACGCCATCAGTGAGCGAGAGCTGCAGTGGTCCGCTGCTCACCCTCGGGTTTTATCCACAATAAATCAGGGTTAATCGTCTGCAGTTTGCTGTAAAACCTCCACTCTTCAACAGTGTGTTAATGTTAACAGCAGAAAAGGGGAGTTGGCTCAGATTTTAGAGGAAGAAATAACCTCTTTATTGAGCAAAAGAGCAATTCGGGTTATGCCACTGGAGGACAGCCAGCACGGCTTTTACTCCTGGTACTCTGTCATTCCCAAATGAGGGGGTGGTCTATGTCTCATTCTGGATTTGCGGAACCTCAACAAACACCTCAGAAATTATACATTCAAAATGCCCACAATAAAAGCATTATACAGTTACAGTGTTATTCTTCCTGGAGACTGGTTTACATCAGTAGATCTGAAGGACGCTTACTTTCACATAAGTATCTACCTGGCACACAGAAAATTCCTCAAGTTTATCAGAGCACAGCCTGCGAATTCTGGACTGTTCCGTTTGGGCTGAGCCCAAATTCAGCAAATGTGTTAAAGCGGCACTAATGTGCTTGGCGTGATGGCGCCGACGCTGATGGCTGCCTCCGTGGCGTGCTCCGCAGTTGTTTTTATGTTGGGGCAGGGAGAAGGAGAGGCTGAGAGAACGAGTAAACGGACTAAAAAGAAACCTAAACAGACTAAACAGCGGGTGAGCATCCATGTAACATCCATCCATCCATATTTTCTCTTCTATGCTAATGTGTGTGTGTGTGTGTTTAGTCTGTGCCTGCTGGAGATTTAGAGGAATTGTTGCCCCCATCTTGGATCATGGAGACAATTCCAAGACGATCACCCTTTGTACCTCAAATGGGAGATGAGGTGAGTCCTTTCATTAAATGTAGACGCACACTAAATGACCAAAAGTAAGAACAAGGATCTGCATCATACATAGACAACTTTCTTTAGTCATTTCTCTTTCTTTGTCCTTCCGTAGTTGATATATTTCCGTCAGGGTCATCAAGCATATGTCCGAGCCGTGTGTCGTGCCAAAGCCTACAGCATCAACCCTCAGAAACACCCCTGGAACCGCCTGAACCTCAGGGTAAGGGGATTATTTCCTGTCTCATCACCATTCCCATTTGTTATTAGGCATAATTCAGTCTGCATCACAGTGGTTGAGCCATTCTGCATCCAGACCAACAGGAACATGAAAGTATGTTGTCTGTGTGTTCTCTTAGGATCAGGAGTCTGTAAAGGTAGTGGGTATTAAATATGAAGTCGGGCCGCCCACTCTGTGCTGCCTCAAACTGGCCCTCCTGGACCCCACCTCAGGGAAAATGACCAACGAATCCTTTAGCTTGAAGTATGTACGCTTATACTCACAAAAACACAAGCACGTTGTGTTAGATTTTTGTTTATGTATTTTATTTATTTCCTATTGGTATTGGAATAGCATAATAAATACTAAATACTGAATGCATTTTAAATACATATTAGGATAGTTTTTGTTTATCAATATGAGTTTGTAAATGAGGACGAGTGTGAGAGAGTCATTACTGCCATAGATCAGCTGCTAACGCTCGGTATGACAAATGCACACAAACCACCTAAAACTATTAGTTTCTATTTCTTCTAGGTGTCAGTTGCAAGATACCAGTACAATGAAATTCCATTACTCTCAAAGCAATTTTAATACCACAGCAAAACTAGTTCACTGCTGAAAGCCTTTATTGAAAATGTTCAATGATTATTAATGAATTTAAGGATAAAATTATTTTATTTTTCTTCGGGTAATTATGTACATAGACGAAAGTCAGTAATAATGAAATAATTTGCAAGCAATGAACTGAACAAACATGCAAATTAGGTGAATTGTGCTTCAGGTGTCTAATTGCATACATTCAGAAAATGAAAACAAAAGTGAGTATAAAATAAAGCTTTTTAAATGATTGGCATTACCTTCACTGTGTTAATATAGGTAATACACCATTGTTGCATTAATTTAATAAAAAATAGTCAGAACAATATTGTGAACCATTTCAATTTAAAATAAATTTTGTTGTAATTCATTCCTGTAATGGCAGGAAAAAGCTGAATTTTGTCACACGTCACATGGTTCTTCAGAAATGTTTCTAATGTACTGAATTTGTGCTGCTTAATATTATTGTTGAAAGCAATTGTTTTGTTTTTGTAGAAACCCCGATATATAAGGATTCTTTGATGAACAGAAAGCACAAAAGAACTGCATTTATTTGAAATAGAAATCTTTTCCCTTTAAAAATGCCTTTACAGTCACTTTTGAGCAATTTAATGCATCCTTGCTAAATAAAAGTAATAAATTCTTTAAAACAAAAATCCAACTGTCCCCAAACTTTGAACGGTAGTGTATATTAATGCTGATTTAATGCTTTAGTGATTTGATACTTTACTGATTTAACCTTGCTATGGACAAATAAGTGCATTGTTTTAGAGGTCTACACGGGTCCAAAAAATACCCGAACCCGAAGAGACCCATAAATGTGCTACGCTGAACCAACCTTCTCCCTTGTACCTGACTGTGATGCACACAATCCTCCTTGCCAAGAAAGTTCCATCCATGTTATTCCTCTCTTGCCAATTGAAAAGCGTAATCCACTCATTATTCCAGTTTCACCACTGTCACGGTGACGGATGACAAATGCGACTTTGCAGTTTTTGTATCTCGAGTCAACTTGCATAATAATCTAGACTGTTTGCCCATTTGGATTATAATAGCCGACCCGGGAACCTGTAGACCTCAACATTGTTTACCTATGACAATTTTTTTTTATAATAAATCATGTTCCTTTCTTAATTTTACTCTTGTGTGTTTTACAGATGTGGCAAAGGCATTCTCCTGCCCTGTAGATTTGAGGGAATATTCGCTGTACTGCACTGTTGTGGCCTATCTCACTGACATCGGCACCATCAGAACAAGATTAGTGCACCGTTTCTACAGGTACACACTGTCCTTTAGCCCACTGACCACAGCAGCATCAGACAAAAATGAGTGCCCCATTTCTCTAGGCATTCACAATTACAAGTGTTGGAGTTCTCTCACATGTCCCTGTATGTGTAGGCGGATCTCAGCACTTATGTGGGAGGTGCGTTACATTGAACACAACGCTCGAACATTTAACGAACCCCAGACCCCCATCGTCAAGGCAGCCAAAACAGTCAGCAGCATCCTGCTGCGTTTCATCAGGTCAGAGAAAATGCAGTCACTTACACATTCATATCAGTTATGATCCCTCTGGTTTACTTTTTTGGCCCACTGCTCCGGGTGTGTGTTCACGGTGTGTGTGTTCACTG